TTGGAGAAACTCCTAGTGACAACTCACACTGTTTTCATATTAAAACACATTCATATTATGGTTCTTGCTGCCTCTGCCATCACAGAACAAAGATGCCTCATTCATAGTGCTGCTTATTACTGAACCTGAGTGCTGGCTTGCATGGGTGCACAGAATGTTACAACCAGATGAAGGGATAATGCATCCTGTAGATGTTGAAAAAATTTTTTTCTTGACTACTCCAGTGCTGGAACAATGGGCCATTAACAGGATAGAGTGATAATGAAGGCAGAACAGAGGAATTCATGGGTCCAAGAATCTCTTTCACCAAGGTTGATGCAGGTCCTGTCTGAATCTAAGCTGCCAACAGGAGAGACTATTACTAAGCCCACTTTTACAGAGACCAGAGGCCATTTGTGAGAGAGTGTTATATCAAACCCCTTCTACTTTGGAGGGGATGGGCAGTCATCCTTACCATCATTGATACCTTTGAGTTTTTCATCTCTGCCTGAAATTCTTCTGCCAGTACCATCATCCTAGGGCTTACAAATTACCCAGTCCACCAAACTCCTCTTACACAGTGTTTCCTAAGTCCAAGGGACTCATTTTATGGCAATGGAGGAACAACAATGGCTTCATTGGTCTTATCATATACCATGTCACCCAGAAGCAATCAATCTAATAGAATGATAAACTGGTCTGTTGAAAGATCAGTTAAGATCCAACTCAGAGGTAACACTCTTGAGATTGGAGCACTGTCTCCCAGGTTGTGGTAAATGTACTGAATCAATTAGCAATCTATAGTTCAGTGTCCCCACATAACCAGAATGTGAGTCCAGAAACCAAAGAAAGGGTCAAAGCATTGACCCTTTTAGTTGTCCCTCCTAGTGACTTGTGGAATTTATACCTTTCTGTCCCTGCAGTCTCAAATTCTGCCAGCTTAGAGGTCCAAGTTTCCAGGAAGAATATACTCTCACCAGGGAGGTTAAAAAGACTTCAGTGAACTGGAAGTTATTTTGGGCTCCTCATATCAGAAAGCAAAGGAAAGAGTTTCTATACTTAGCTGGAGTAATTGGTCTTGATTCCCATGAAAAGCTAGGGTTGCTATAATGCAGCAGGAGACAGTGAGTATGACTGAAGCTCAGGAGACTCACTGGGGGATCTCTTGTACCTTTGTGCTCAGTGATGATTGTAAATGGACAATAGTAGCAATAAAAACCTAACAAATGCAAGAAAACTAAAGGCTCAGACCCTAGGGGTTCAGATCTGGTCCCTGTATCAGACATATAGCTCAGACCAACTGAAGTGCTAGATGTGGGGGCATCTATAGTGAGTCACGGAGGTGAGATGGAAAATATTAGTTTGCACTTGGCAGTGGAGACTGTAGGTTGGTTTGCTAATAAGGTTTGGACTTGTACCTTCCCTTTTAGGAAAGAAGGATAAGCATCTGTTCTTAGATAAAATAAGATCCAGATACTATAGGAAGTTGCAAATGGATTTGGGTGGCACAGCGAAGACTCTTTAACCACTCTCTTTGGTCATCTCAATCAGCTTTCCTTCCCAGTTCACATAATTTCCATGATCATAAATCCCTGGCCACAACAATCTTTGCTAAAGAACAAAGAACACCCATACATGGTGCCTGTTGACAAGAAAAGACCACCATGCTTGAATATGGGCCAAAGGGAACTCATAGAGCCTCAGCTTCCCTAGTAGCTTCCTGGGTGGGCTGAGTGACATGACTTACAAGGATGCTTACTCCCCACGGAGCACACCTTGACCAGTCGGGGACTGTGGATGGGTGTGTTTATCCCCTGGTGGATTAATATGTAGTGGTGAGTCTCTATAGTTGTAAAATGGGTCTCAGAGCCAGTATATAAACAAAATAAAAATGGCTATTAATTCTATTCTTTAGAGATAACCACCATAATTATTTTTATATAATTACTTTCATTTTTTTTCTTATGCATACATGAAATATTTAATTAAAAATTGAGATTATAATATAGGGAGATTTGCATATTGCTTTTAAAAAGCATTAAATTATATTGAATTTTTTCATTAGAGTGTATTTGAACTTAATCTTTTAATGAGTTAAAAATATTCAGTCACATGAATTTATGACT